GGATCATACCTCTGTTGTATCGGTAGTAGGGATCACACCTCTGCTGTATCGGTACTAGGGGTCAGACCTCTGCTGTATCGGTACTAGTGATCAGACCTCTGCTGTATCGGTACTAGGGATCAGACCTCTGTTGTATCGGTACTAGTGATCATACCTCTATTGTATCGGTACTAGGGATCACACCTCTGCTGTATCGGTACTAGTAATCAGACCTCTGCTGTATCCGTACTAGGGGTCAGACCTCTGCTGTGTCAGTACTAGGGATCAGTCCTCTGCTGTATCTGTACTAGTGATCAGACCTTTGTTGTATCGGTACTAGGGACCACACCTCTGCTGTATCGGTAGTACTAGGGATCAGACCTCTGTTGTATCGGTACTAGGGATCAGATCTGCTGTATCGGTACTAGTGATCAGACCTTTGCTGTGTCAGTACTAGGGATCAGACCTCTGCTGTATCGGTACTCGGGAATCAGACCTCTGCTGTATCAGTACTAGTGATCAGACCTCTGTTGTATCGGTACTAGGGGTCACACCTCTGTTGTATCGGTACTAGGGGTCACACCTCTGCTGTATCGGTACTAGGGATCACGACTCTGCTGTTTCGGCACTAGTGATCAGACCTCTGCTGTATCGGTACTAGTGATCAGACCTCTGTTGTATCGGTACTGCTCTATCGGTACTAGGGATCACACCTCTGCTGTATCGATACTAGTGATCAGACCTCTGCTGTGTCAGTACTTGTGATCATACCTCTGTTGTATCGGTACTAGGGATCAGATCTGCTGTATCGGTACTAGTGATCAGACCTCTGCTGTGTCAGTACTAGGGGTCATACCTCTGTTGTATCGGTACTAGGGATCAGATCTGCTGTATCGGTACTAGTGATCAGACCTTTGCTGTGTCAGTACTAGGGATCAGACCTCTGCTGTAGCGGTACTGGGGAATCAGACCTCTGCTGTATCAGTACTAGTGATCAGACCTCTGTTGTATCGGTCCTAGGGGTCACACCTCTGTTGTATCGGTACTAGGGGTCACCCCTCTGTTGTATCGATACTAGTGATCAGACCTCTGCTGTGTCAGTACTTGGGATCATACCTCTGTTGTATCGGTACTAGGGGTCACACCTCTGCTGTATCGGTACTAGGGATCACACCTCTGCTGTGTCAGTCCTAGTGATCAGACCTCTGTTGTATCGGTACTGCTCTATCGGTACTAGGGATCACACCTCTGCTGTATGTGATCAGACCTCTGCTGTATCGGTACTAGGGGTCAGACCTCTGCTGTATCGGTACTAGGGATCACCCCTCTGCTGTATCGGTACTAGGGATCACACCTCTGCTGTAGCGGGACTAGTGATCATACCTCTGCTGTGTCAGTACTAGTGATCAAACCTCTGTTGTATCGGTACTAGGGATCATACCTCTGTTGTATCGGTACTAGTGATCAGACCTCTGCTGTGTCAGTACTTGTGATCATACCTCTGTTGTATCGGTACTAGGGGTCACACCTCTGTTGTATCGGTACTAGGGGTCAGACCTCTGCTGTATCGTTACTAGGGATCACACCTCTGCTGTATCGGTAGTACTAGGGATCAGATCTGCTGTATCGGTACTAGTGATCAGACCTTTGCTGTGTCAGTACTAGCGATCACACCTCTGCTGTATCGATACTAGTGATCAGACCTCTGCTGTATCGGTACTTTGTATCGGTACTAGGGGTCAGACCTCTGCTGTGTCAGTACTAGGGATCATACCTCTGTTTCATCGGTACTAGGGATCACACCTCTGCTGTATCGATACTAGTGATCAGACCTCTGCTGTGTCAGTACTTGGGATCATACCTCTGTTGTATCGGTACTAGGGATCAGATCTGCTGTATCGGTATTAGTGATCAGACCTTTGCTGTGTCAGTACTAGGGATCAGGACCTCTGCTGTATCGGTACTAGTGATCAGACCTCTGCTGTATCGGTACTTTGTATCGGTACTAGGGGTCAGACCTCTGCTGTATCGGTACTAGGGGTCAGACCTCTGCTGTATCGGTACTAGGGATCACACCTCTGCTGTGTCAGTACTAGTGATCAGACCTCTGTTGTATCGGTACTAGGGATCACACCTCTGCTGTATCGATACTAGTGATCAGACCTCTGCTGTGTCAGTACTTGTGATCATACCTCTGTTGTATCGGTACTAGGATCACACCTCTGCTGTATCGGTATTAGGGATCACACCTCTGTTGTATCGGTACTAGGATCACACCTCTGCTGTATCGGTACTAGTACTAGGGGTCACACCTCTGCTGTATCGGTACAAGTGATCATACCTCTGCTGTGTCAGTACTAGTGATCATACCTCTGTTGAATCAGTACTAGGTATCATACCTCTGTTGTATCGGTACTAGGGATCATACCTCTGTTGTATCGGTACTAGGGATCAGATCTTCTGTATCGGTACTAGTGAACAGACCTCTGCTGTGTCAGTATTAGGGATCAGACCTCTGCTGTATCGGTACTGGGGAATCATACCTCTGCTGTATCAGTACTAGTGATCAGACCTCTGTTGTATCGGTACTAGGGGTCACACCTCTGTTGTATCGATACTAGTGATCAGACCTCTGCCGTATCGGTACTAGTGATCATACCTCTGCTGTATCGGTACTAGTGATCATTCCTCTGCTGTATCGGTACTAGTGATCATCTAGGGATCATACCTCTGTTGTATCGGTACTAGTGATCTTACCTCTGTTGTATCGGTACTAGTGATCATGCCTCTGTTGTATCGGTACTAGGGGTCACACTTCTGCTGTATCGGTACTAGGGATCCCACCTCTGCTGTATCGGCACTAGTGATCAGACCTCTGTTGTATCGGTACTAGTGATCATACCTCTGTTGTATCGGTACTAGGGGTCACACCTCTGTTGTATCGATACTAGTGATCAGACCTCTGCTGTATCGGTACTAGTGATCATACCTCTGCTGTATCGGTACTAGTGATCATACCTCTTCTGTATCGGTACTAGTGATCAGACCTCTGTTGTATCGGGACTAGTGATCAGACCTCTGCTGTGTCAGTACTAGGGATCACACCTCTGTTGTATCGGTACTAGGGATCAGACCTCTGCTGTGTCAGTACTAGTAATCATACCTCTGCTGTATCGGTACTAGTGATCAGACCTCTGCTGTGTCAGTACTAGGGATCATACCTCTGTTGTATCGTTACTAGGGATCAAACCTCTGCTGTATCGGTACTAGTGATCAGACCTCTGCTGTGTCAGTACTAGGGATCACACCTCTGCTGTGTCAGGTCTAGGGATCACACTTCTGTTGTATCGGTACTAGTGATCAGGCCTTCTTGTATCTTCAACTGTTTATGAAAGTTTTCGTTTGTAATTTAATACAGATGTCATATAATTAAGTATAAATGTTATTTTGACACTCTTAAATGTACCACTAAACAGATATATCTTTCTTGACATCTATTGAATCTGAACTTCCTTGCCTCCACTTGACACTTGCTCGTTACCGTTCAATTCACAGAGACCCCCTTTCATTAACTCAGTTAAATTTGAAACCCAAGGAAGCATGCCTTTAATTAGTGTTGAAGATATCCCGCTACCGTTTGACAAAATCAATTACTACTGGCACCTTTACGATAGCTAGGTTAAGTTGTAAACAAGTTTATCAGTCGGCCATGACAGATGAGTCCTGATCTTGATTACCAAAACAAACAAAAATTCACGACGCACGCTCATAATTTGACATTCTTTCCGTGACGGAAACACTCTGACGAGATCGAGATTCTAGCAGAAAATGTCACCGAGAGATCGCGGGGTTTCGGGTTACTTAATTGGAGGGTGTCGAACGTAGCTCCACCATCAGTATTATCTAACTCAAATCTCACAATGTCTCGCAGCTGTGCGAGACACTAGACTGGAGCGATATCAAGATTTAGTAGAGCGGGTTACAGATCTTTCGAGAAAGACTTTTGTAATATTACACCAAATCTAACGATTTTTTTGTTTATTCTTGTATCAAGTATGCTATCAAAACACTTTGATATAACATTTCTCTTGTATAGTACACGGAGAGCGGTTAGACGTTTCTGAGTAGCCTAAAGCAAGTCAAACGGATTGTAGCGTGTTAACGGAACATTACTTGAAAACAAGAGGGAATTAGGATGAACTTTTCCACGTATATAAATACTGAAACTATAAAAACTAGCGCATATTCACTTACCTATACAGTATCTGTGTCACAGCGAGGTCATCCGTTATTTTCAACCGACTCCCGAAATTGATTTAAAATGGATTTCTACACGCAAATTATTATCTAGCCAATGAGCAGACGTCAGAAGAAATGATAGCTATGGTAATTAAGTATATACGAAAAGGAAATACTCAAATCAATGGCAGCCATCATTTAGTTATTGTTTAATAACCCTTTCAATTATTCTTGTCAATTAATTACACTAAACGTTTCTAATTATCTGTGGGTAATCACATTATAAACGAATAATTACAAAATGATACGGTATTTCAGAGACATTGGGTAATTGAAATTATATTATTTTAATCAGTGTTTAAATTGATGACAAAACCAGTTCGACGCCACTGTATTGATTTGCGATCCGGATATTGTGTGAGTTTTTACAGGTGATTCGGTTTGAATCCATACACATAATAATGCGCACTATAGCATTCTAACAACTGTATACGCTTCGCTGCTGTAAGGTTTCACGATGTGCGTTAATATCATCACAAGCAATAGGATAATCTCTCCTATTACACAGCTAGCTCAGTTTATGTTATTTCGCTTTGCATTGATAATGGTTTTAAAAACTTCAATCATGACTTGTATCCCACACAAACCTAATTTTCATCTGAACTTCAGACGTAAAATTTAATAATTTTTAATATAGAAATTATCAAAATGTTATCCCAAGCTAACCATACCTATCTGTGTCGAGTCCTTTAGCTGTGTTTTGGCGGGATGCGCGGTTACATTTTTCATTTTCTCCCTATAGGTACGTCTGTTTATCCATTGTTTACGTAGGAATGTAACACAATAGTTCTACACACTTACAGATTTATAAGAATTCTATATTTTTCTAGAAGTACGTAAACAAGCCAGCGGTATAGGAGACCTGTTGTTTACCGACGTTTCAGGACGTCTGCAGTATACTACAGGCCACAGGCACATATCGTCGGAGGATTGTAGTCATCGCTCTCACTCTGAGCGTGAACACGGAGAGAAGTGAATGTGTTGCTCTGGTTCCTATGGTGGATTATGACTGTGTTGATTCCTACGTGTGTACAGTACAGGGATATAGACTGCACAAGGATTTATCTTCATAAACCAAGGTAAACAGATACGCGATTGAACATATCAACATTTAAATGTTTGTTTATGATTATTGATCATTTCAATGTACGAAGTGATCTTTGTGCCTCACATACATAAGATTATGTGAATGAATTGGTTTTTCAAAAAATATGTCATTTAAATTTTTTCAGTAATGGTACATTTTGATCGCAGTATCGGAGTGTTCTCGTTGTAAGTGATGGCGCAACAGGGAACATGCTGACCCTCGTATGGTTGTATACAGAATATTGACTAAAATTCTTACAGTATCTTTCTTAAGACTCATGACTAAAACATTACGCAAAACAAAAACAAACAGAAAAAATCTTACATAATTGAGTTATTTTCAAATATTTTTTACATCATACTATAAAGGCGTACACTGTAACCTGTTTTTTGTACAGGAATTCGCAGGAGATATGTATACACTATATACTGTGTCTGATATACTGGAGACGTGTATACACTATACAGTGTCTGGTGTACTGGATACGTGTATACACTGTACAGTGTCTGGTGTACAGGAGACATGTATACACTATACAATGTCTGGTGTACAGGAGACGTGTATACACTATACAGTGTCTGGTGTACAGGAGACGTGTATACACTATACAGTGTCTGGTGTACAGGAGACGTGTATACACTATACAGTGTCTGGTGTACAGGAGACGTGTATACACTATACAGTGTCTGGTGTACAGGAGACGTGTATACACTATACAGTGTCTGGTGTACAGGAGACGTGTATACACTATACAGTGTCTGGTGTACAGGAGACGTGTATACACTATACAGTGTCTGGTGTACAGGAGACGTGTATACACTATACAGTGTCTGGTGTACAGGAAACGTGTATACACTATACAGTGTCTGGTGTACAGGAAACGTGTATACACTATACAGTGTCTGGTGTGCAGGAGACGTGTATACACTATACAGTGTCTGGTGTACAGGAGACGTATATACACTATACAGTATCTGGTGTACAGGAGACATGTATACACTATACAGTATCTGGTGTACATGAGACGTGTGTATACACTATACAGTATCTGGTGTACAGGAGACGTGTATACACTATACAGTATCTGGTGCGCAGGAGACGTGTATACACTGTACAGTGTCTGGTGTACTGGAGACGTATATACACTATACAGTATCTGGTGTACAGGTGATGTGTATACACTATACAGTATCTGGTGTACAGGTGATGTGTATACACTATACAGTATCTGGTGTACAGGAGACGTATTTACACTATACAGTGTCTGGTTTACAGGAGACATGTGTATACACTATACAGTGTCTGGTGTACATGAGACGTGTGTATACACTATACAGTATCTGGTGTACAGGAGACGTGTATTCCCTATACAGTATCTGGTGCGCAGGAGCCGTGTATACACTATACAGTATCTGGTGTACACGAGACGTGTATACACTATACAGTGTCTGGGGTACAGGAGACGTGTATACACTATACAGTATCTGGCGCGCAGGAGACGTGTATACACTATACAGCATCTGGTGTACACGAGACGTGTATACACTATACAGTGTCTGGGGTACAGGAGACGTGTATACACTATACAGTATCTGGTGCGCAGGAGACGTGTATACACTATACAGTATCTGGTGTACACGAGACGTGTATACACTATACAGTGTCTGATATACTGGAGACGTGTATACACTATACAGTATCTGGTGTACAGGAGACGTGTATACACTGTAGAGTGTCTGGTGTACAGGAGACGTGTATACACTATACAGTGTCTGGGGTACTGGAGACGTGTATACACTATACAGAGTCTGGTGCACAGGAGACGTGTATACACTATACAGTGTGTATACACTATACAGTATCTGGTGTACATGAGACGTGTATACACTATACAGTGTCTGGTGTACAGGAGACGTGTATACACTATACAGTGTTTGGTGTACATAAGACGTGTATACACTATACAGTGTCTGGTGTACATGAGACGTATATTCACTATACAGTGTCTGATATACAGGAGACGTGTATCACTGTACAGTGTCTGGTGTACATGAGACGTGTATACAGTTTTTATTGGTGTACATGAGACAAACATGTATCTGACTTTGACCAGTGTAAGAACTTATTGGGAGAATACGTAACATTTCCTTCGGAGAATATGCACCTGTTGACCCCTCTGTGAACAATCTGACAGGACTAAGGTGCCACCGTCAGACTGTCTGATACGTTATATAAACAACATCACAACAACAGTTTAATGGGTATTTCGTCTTGATTCCTTCCGTTTCACACCACCAGTGCAGAAAATTGTTTAGTTATTAATGTACTATTTACGCTTTCAATTGTGCACGCTCAGAGGGGCTTGGCGCGTGGTTGGGACAGATACGTATCCTAGGGTCTAATTGTATGTTGCACTGATTATTTTTGTCCCAAATATGACACCGACACATTGTAAATGACGCGTGAAAAGTTTATACTATAAACACGCTAACAACAAGTACTGAAACGTGAAAAGTTGACAAGAATCCCTTTTCATTTAACCAATTATGAGACTGTGCAAACCGCATTCAAAGAATATATCTGAAGTATACATGTGAAAAACAATCCTTTGTGTCGATATATAGGTATTAAAATACTTCACAGTTTTGCCATTAAGAACACTATCAATGACAAAGTGCTATTACACACTAGGCTATTTGTATCTTACGCCATGACCTCAGTACAACTGTTGTCAACTTTAAACCACACGAGTCATTAAATTATTTTGTGAAGAAATATATGGATTTGACACGACATAAGCGACACTATCAATGTGACGACGTCCCATGCTGTTTATTACACTCATAGTTTGAATCAGACTTGTAACAGTCGCGGTTGGACGGTGAATCACATCCGTATATGATGAAAACAAACCCTACCTTGATTCACCTAACAGTAATATTGTGTAGGTACTGTGCCAGGCAGGTGCGATGTATACATTGCCCCATTACCATGTGAAATGAATTAATGAAATATACATCGATCACTATAGAAATAGCATTTCTCTGGAACAAGAAGAAACTGATATATATTCAAAAATTGAAGTATAAAGCATTGTTAGGTTAAAGTATATGATGTTTACACTTCTGTGAATTTCAAAGTTTCCTTTCGTTATAAGTTTGAATATACCAACAAAATATACAAACTGGAGAATTTGAGTATCGGCATTTGTCATATTTAAGTGGATTTTGTTTATATATGTATAAAGTTCGAGTATTGCTGGGTTCTCAATACTGCAGTATTTCCTGGTGTGTATGGGCTGAGCACGATGTCCCAATTATAAGGTGATTAGTGGTGTGTGTAGGCTAAGTATATATTGGCGATTTATAACGGTTTTATTGCTTGTAACATTACCATGTTATTCGTTTATTGGTCGTAAATGTTAAGGTAACCGTGGCCAGTCATAGCCTAACCTATAAATATATTATAGGGTATGGGGTAGCAGAGATATCGTCTTTTCGGTTCCCTGGACTTTACTAGTCCGCATTATTTCAATATTTTTTATTCCGTAATCCCAGTTTCCTCTGCCTGGTCACGTACGCGTGGTTATATCGTTATTGCATTATTGATAGCACGTAACTGCACCCTAATTGGTATTGATTTCCGGTTAGAATACTAAGCACTTTAGGATTCTCTTTTCATGATCACAAAGTCTGATCTCATAGTAGACATCCGAATTCAAAAACCATCAGTGTCAGAGTGAGCAAACGAATGGAGACTGTTTAAACCAGTAAAGGATCGAGATTTCCAAATGTTCGTTGGGGCCCTGGGTGAAGGGAGAGTGTGGGTTACATGTATGAAGCCCCTCTGGATCCGCTACTGTCCCGATATTTGAAAGCCATGTAATGAACTAAGGGAGAAATCCTACTGAATAATGTGGCTGATATCACAATAACAAAACCCCACCCTGTCTCTGTTTACGTGTTGGTCCTTACGAAGGGAGATAACTGATCTTAGTGAATTATGGTAGTCCTTATGAGGGGAGATAACAGCTAATCTTATTATCGTGATGGGTCGATCAGGGGAAATAACTGCTAAAAATGGTCCGATCAATAAATGAAACAAGGAGAGGCAGCGTTTTATTTTCAAGACATAAATGTTTAGCAAGATTTCCCCAAATCCAACATTACAGACAGCAGTGAAAACGACGGCTGTCCCCACTTTTTACGTTAAAACATTGAATTACTTGACCTACTTACCAGTACAATAAAATGTACATTTACTGACCGTTTAGACACGTGTATTCGCAATAGGTTCCTCAGAATATAATCCCATTGAGGGTGATTAAGGACACGAAATACTTCGTGACATCCTCTGTCGAACAAGAGAAATAACGAGAACATTGAATGTTGGATTGTTTCGTCCACTGCATGATGCTAATTACTGTAAAAGTTGATTTTTTACCACAGCCGTACTCTGTCATCATGTATAACAGCCGAAGCGTGTCGTGGGGGTCCGAACGTACGTAAACGTTGTGTAATACATCAAATGTGTATTGCTAAAATCATATCCACGGCAAAAATGTAAAAAATGATATCTGTTATGTGATGTTACATGTAGCGTGTAGTCATTTAATAAATGTCACCACACCCGTCACTGTGGTATAGTATGTAGCCAGCGTGGTTTCCAGTCCATCAAATAGAAACATCATTTCTACTGACGTGTAAAACATTTTACCACAATAAAATACGAAATTGTTATGTGAAAATAAAAAGCTAGCTGAAGAAAGTCATCAATTAAACTTCACGGTAACTACAGGAGGGNGAGCGTAAATTACTTTGAAAAAAATCTAGTTTAAATGGGCGAACAAAGACGTGTTACGTATGAATGGGTAGAACTACGGAAGTAGAGAGTGACTCAGTATTATATCTCGACGTTCTTGTTCAAATAAAAACTTCTACAAGTGAAATAGGTCTCTGTATCGCTACTGTAGGTTAAGAACTGAGAGCTAGA